TCAAAAAAAAAAAAAAAAAAAAGAACTCAAGGTATATGCAAATCTGACCCCAAAAAAAAAAAAAAAAAAAAAAAAATCTGACCCCTCCTTGCTTTATTTGAGCCCTCTTCTTCATTGGGACTCCACTGACTTGTCAGACGGGTGCAGTCAAGGGCCACCTGGGGCAAGACTTGTTTGCTGCTCTCCCTTGGGAAATTCCAACCGTCGATGGCTTCCTTATCTCTCCGTTCTCTCCTCACGCCACCGTGGTTGTTCTCCACAACGGAGATGGCCGGCCTCGTCACACCACTCTCAAAATGTGAAAAAAAAAAAAAAGTGGCGGGTGCATCTGGCCATGTTCTAACAGCAAGTTCATTCTCAATTTGCACATTTCGAGAGTGGTGTGGCGGTGCCCTATATCGTTCTGCTCATCTGAACTTTTGGTCTGTGGGCCTCGCCACATCACTGTCAAAACGAGAACAGAAGGAATGCATCTGACGTAGAACGTGGTAAGATGCATCCATCGCTATTCATAGTAACGGATGCATCTTGCCCTCTCCGCGGGAAGATGCATTCGTCCGTTTTTCATTTCCACGGTGGTCTGGCGAGGCCCTGTATTTCAACAGCTCATGGACTTTCGAACTCGAAATGTGAAAAAAACAAAAATGTGGCGGGTGCATCTGGCCATGTTCTAGCGGGAAGTTCATTCCCATTTTGCACCTTTCGAGAGTGGTGTGTCGATGCCCTGACACTAATGACTGCCTTTTCCACGTCAGTAAACGAAACCATTTTGTTTTGTTTTTTTCAGCCTCGAGGTATGATTGTCGAACATTTCCTTGCCACGTCAGTAATGGAAACCTTTTTTTTTCTTGTTTTTTTAGCCTTGAGGTATCATTGTCGAACTTGACAGTAGTCATTTCCTTCGAGCTGACTGTACTCAGCACGCCAGCATTCTAGCACGTAAAATAGGAAAATAGGACATTTTGGGTTGGTCATTTGTGGACTACATGGCACCCCCTGGTCACAAAGCAGTTCCGCATCTGGCACAAAAGGAAGGGCCTCTTTCCACTACTCGCCATCCGCCACACCTGGCGAACGCGACTTCGTTCCATTGGGTAGCCAATTGCCACAGAACCGTTTATGTCAGAAATTTGGTCCAAAAGCACTTGGCGGTCGGTCGCACCGGCCTCCGTATACCCCCTCCTGCAATGGGCTTTCGTGGAGGGCGGAACTGGTCACCCCTCCGCGAACTGCTACGTGTGGCGACCGGCCCTGACACCGCGACCCTGGCAGTAGGCGTGGC